TAGAATAGAATAGAATAGAATAGAATAGAATAGAATAGAATAGAATAGAATAGAATCTGTAAGGGAGTTTGGAAGTTTTCTAGACTAGCCTCCTGCTCAAGCAGGATAACCTGTACCATTTCAGACAAGTGACTGCCTAGTCTCTTCTTAAAAACCTGAAATGATGGAGTGCCCACGATTTCTGAAGGCAAGCTGTTCCACTGGTTAATTGTCCTTACTGTTAGGAAGTTTCTCCTTAATTCAAGGTTGCTTCTCTCTGTGATTAGTTTCCAACCATTGTTCCTTGTCCTGACCTCCAGTGCTTTGGAGAATAATTTGATCCTCTCTCCTTTGTGGCAGCTCCACAAATAATGGAATACTGCTATCATGTCACCCCTAATTTTGTTTTCTTTAGACTAGCCTAACCCAAATCCTGTAGCTCTTCTTCATATGTTTTAGTCTCCTAGACCTTGCTCTTCTCTGAATTTTTTTTCCAAAGCCTCATCATCCTTTTTGTAGTATGGTGACCAAAATTGGTTGCAATATTCCAGGTGTGGTCTTACGGGGGCTTTATAAATAGCAATAGTACTTACACTTATATACCACTTCACAGTGCTCTTACTGCTCTCTCTAAGCACTTTACAGAGTCAGCCTATTGCCCCCAACAATCTGGGTCCTCATTTTACCCATCTTGGAAGGATGGGAGGCTAAGTCAACCTTGAGCCGGTGGGACTTGAACTGCTGAACTGCTGGCAATCAGCAGTCAGCAGTAGTAGCCTGCAGGACTGCACTCTAACCACTGTGCCACGAATACTTCACATAATCTTGACTTTATGCCTCTGTTTATACAACCCAGGATTGTATTAACATTTTTGGATTGTATTAACTGCTGCTGCACACTGCTGGCTCATATTCAAGTGATCATCCACTAAGACTCCAAGGTCCTTCTCACAGTTACTATTTATCAACCAGGTCTACCTAATTTGTACTGACATCTTTGATTTTTTCCCGCCTAAATGTAAAGCTTTGCTTTTCTCCACATCAAAATTCATTTTGTTGGATAGGGTCTATTGTTCAAGTTTGTCAAGATCTTTTTGGATCCTGAGCTTGCCTTCTGGAGCATTGGTTATTCCTGCCAGCTGACTGTCATCTGCAAATTTGATGAGTTCCCCTTCTATTCCTTCATCTTAAGTCATTTATGAAGATATTGAAGAGTACTGGGCCTAAGATGAAGCCTTGTGGTGCCCCGCTGCTTTCTTCTCTCCATGTCTATGTAGTACCATTAAGGACTACTCATTGAGTACAGTTTGTCAGCCAGCTACAAATGTGTTCATACATTTCTGTGCACAATGTAGTTTGCATGTTGTGTATTATTCTTTGCTTTCTCTTCCAACCAGGTTTCATTTTATGTATTGTTCCCTTATATGTGGGTGAAATAGCCCCGAGGAAGTACAGAGGAGTCATTATTTTTGTACACCAGTTCTGTTTAAATATCGGCATCCTGATAGCTCAGGTCCTTGCAATAAAGGAAATTCTAGGGAACAGCACAGGTGATTTGAAGAAATGAACTGATAACCATTTTTTGTGAACCTAGATCAATAATGTCTGTAATTAAACCCATAAAATCTCACTCTATAAATACATACAGGTAGTCCTCAACTTATGACCACAATCAGCCCAAAATTTATCTTCCTAAGTGAGACAATTATTGAGTGAATCACTGCAGGTGTTAAGTTAATAACACAGTTGGTAAGTGAATTTGTCTTCCCCATTGACTTGGCTTGTTAGAAGGTCGTAAAAGGGGATCACATGACCCCGGAACACTGCAACCATCATAAATATGAATCAGTCCATCATAAATGTGAAAAAGGGTCATAAGTCACTTTTTTCAGAGCCATTGTAAGTTCAAACGGTCACTAAACAGTTGTAAGTTGAGGACTACCTGTACATGAAATCACAAGGACCAAATAAATGCTTCTTTACCAGTATTTTATTGGCCTTAATTTAGCAGGGACCCCAAGAGGAACTTGGACTTCTTCCTTTCTGCTGCCACTCAGGCAGTTGCTCTGAATCCCATTCATGGTCTTAGGCAGTGGTGGGATTCAGACAGTTCACACCACTTCGGGAGAACCGCTTGTTAACTTTCTGAGCAGTTGGGTGAACTCATTGTTGGAAGAAATCATTAGGGCAGAGAACCAATTGTTACATTATTTGAATCGCCCCACTGGTTTTTGGTTCCCTACAATTTAAGTTTTACTCATCAGGCTGGCCAAACATTGTTTGGTAAGGAAGATGCCCTGGTTAGAAAGCATGGGAGGCCTATTGATTTAGAAACAATGGTATTGTACTGGGATGATGAGCTGGAAGACACAAAATAACCCCAGTTAATGGAGTGCTGCTGTTGGAAGCAGTAGCTGGCTGTAGAACTGTATTCGATTTATATCCTGCTTTTCATTCAAGAGTTCAAGGGACTTATATAATACTCCCTCCATCCCCCACAAATAATTTTGTAGAAGAGGTTGGACTGAGAAAGAAACTAACTATGATAGCTTAAGATGACTATGGGTAGATTAGAACCTGGCTCTCCCTACTTCTTACTAGGGTAATTTAGCCATTACACTACAGTGGCCCTTATGTTTGTTCTGAACATGGCCCATCTGCTCAGTAAGAGGAATAGTATGATCTAAGTAAAAGGGAGAATTGCTTTGGCTTTGTGCTCTCTATTATCAAGGACAAACCAACTAGCCAACTCAAGAGTCAAATGTAGACAGCTGCAATCCCTCCTCCAGTTTCAACTGGGCTTGTTTAGCCTCTAAGAAGAGGGGAACCAACTGAACTGGGGAAGCACAGATACTTCTGAGGACGAGCCAGCAGTGAATTCACATACGCCCCAAGCTCTCGATTTGGAGGAGTCCTGTTTTTGCTTGTAGTAGTCAGGTAGTCCCCATGATTTCTTTGCTGCCTCTGTGTCACTGTTCAATGTTCTGGTGCAGGTTTGCCTGCACTGATGGCTTTGGGAGGAATTATACCGTTGATTCAACTATTTCTACTGCCCTTCATACCCGAAACTCCAAGATACTTAATGATTCATAAGAAAAATGAACAGCAAGCAAGAAAAGGTAAAACAGACCTCTTAAGATGAACTTTCGTACATAGTGGCCACAAATATTAGTGAGAAGGGTAGTGAAAAATTCATTCCTTTTCTTTTCTCATGAGGTCTCAGGTAGATGTTTGCAAACCGTATGATATCATTAAGGTAAATCAAGGCATGCAAAATTAATATCAAAGTTTTATATAGCAGTCATTTCAATATACACTGAAGTGGTCAAACCCCCGATGTAAAGTTTTGTGTCTACCTTTGAGTTCCATAATATAGGAATCCATGGAATACAGCAAATCGTTTTACGTTCTAGGAAAACAGATTTCATTTCAAACTTTCTAATGGGGTCATGGCCCCATCAGAGCCTGAGTCTGCAGCGGAAGATGAGCTGGAGCTGGGGCTTATGGAAGTCAAGGGGGCAGCCTCATTGGTGCTGGAGAAAAATGGGGAGGAACAAGACAAGGCAGCCATGGGTCCTTCGGGCCTGGGACGGCTTGACAGCAGTGAAGAACAGGGGCAGGATGACTGAGAGAGCGGGAAAGAGAGGGCAGGCAGTGGAGATGAAGTGATGGAGCTCAGGTGATGAGCAAGGACCTCCTCTCCTGATCCCCAAGCGCAGAGAGCGGAGAGGAGGTGGGAGCAGCACAGGCCAACCCAACAATTCAGGATTCACCCCACCCCTCTTCACACAAGGCATACCTGGGGATTGAGACTTAAGGAGACACTGAGGTAAGGGGCGCTTGTTGGTAACAAGTGCTGAATTCATGGAGTTTTGTGTGCTATTGCTGACATCTGGGTTTCACTGGACTTCTTGCCTTATTGCTGCTTTGTTTCTTTGCCTTGCTGGACTTCTTGCCTTGAAGCCATTGTGCTAACAGCATTTGGCTGGACTACTCGCAGACAGAGACTATTGGGGTGTGTGTGTAAGCGCTTTGCTCCAGGGCTTGCCATAAATGTGGGAGCATGTTGGGGGAAAGTTGGAGCAATAAAGGGGAGTCCGAACTATCAGCTAGCTATGTTGCCTCCATACATTGCACGGTGCCAACACAAAATGAGATTTGACCTTGGGACCAATCAGGCTTAGTAAAAAAATATATCCTTGCAGTTCAGTTAATGTTCATGGTGACTGTGGAAAGAAGTTTAGAAGTTCTCTGAAAGGAAAAAAAAATGTAATTCTGGTTAGAAATCAGAAAGGAAAACAGAAATCAGGCATGAAATATGCATAGCACTCTAACGCAGGGGTCCCAACACCCAGACCACAGCTAACCCCTGGGCCTTGTGCCATTTAGAATTGGGCCGTGGAAATGGAGCGTGAGCTCATGCATGCATAATCCACTTGTGTGAACCGTGGGCAAATGTGTGCCAAAAAGGTTGGGGAACTCTACTTTAGCATATTAAAATATACTAATGACATTTTAGACGTGTTATACTTTCAGAATATCTACAGTCCATCTTCACGGATCCACCTAAATCCATGTAGGGGTCAACTTAGTTGACTTCCAAACTCTTCTCTCCATACATGGGGGCATGACATGATGGGCAACACTTGTATCTCTCTTTTCTGAGATCTTAAAGGAAGGTGGACTATAGCTACCATTCTGACAGGCCATCTAGAGATCTCTTGTGGTGCTGCTAAGTACCAGGACAGGAGCTGCTCTTAATAGCTAATATATGGCATACTGTACCTAAAGGGAAAATGTTGTCAATTCAAGTCTGGGGAAAAGATTTGAACTCCAAAGAATGACACCTGATATTCTTTGCCTGGTGAGTCCTAAACCAACTATGTGGTGTCTCTTGAAGGTCAATGTAACAGTGAGATTTTTTTGGCTATTCATGACTTCTTATTCACCTGTATTTTCTCTCTCCCACCTTCTTTTTCTCCCTCCCTCCCTTCCTTTTCCATATACTACAAAAACTCTTGTAGTTTGTTTCTTTGAACTCTTCAGTAAGCCCAAATGGTACATCAGAACCCAACAATTTTTGAATGAAGATGACTCAAATCCACTAACCTAAAGAATGGTTGAAATTTCAAGGAGTTGCAGACCACGTTTGTTTACAAAGTTGTGGCCATAGCAGTGTCCCCCAGGGGTGAAATTCAACCACCTCGGCCTGGCTCAGGAGAGGCGGTAGGGATGATTTGAATTGGTAAAAAAAATCACCCCTGGCTGCTATTACTATTATACCAAGCCACACCCATACCCACACATCAGAGAGCTGCCAGAGAAAAATTTTGAATTTCACCCCTGGTCATGGTCATGTGAATATGATTTCCCACTCTCTGAGTTTCCCACAAAGACAATGGGGAAGCCAACAGGAAGTCAGAAGTCACTTCTGCTCCCATTGCTTTATTTTGCCTATTTGCACTACTTTGTCTCAAAGAATGACCTGATATGTCACATGTTATCTGGGACCATCTAAATTTCTATGGGTATTAATCCTTTTCTTTGAAATTGTAATAGTAATAAATTTAAAAATAAATAAAAGAGAGAATGTTTGGAGCAATTCACTCAGAGGGAGTGAAATCGTGGACTTACTATGGTAACGACTAGTGGTGCATAGGGAAACTTCCATTTGGAGATCAAGAGAAAGGATGCTACTCTTCTGGGTTAATTATCTTGGACATTTACTTAATATTAATGTTCACTTGACTGTCTAAGTCTGAATAAAGTAGTTGTGGCACAATTTGACCTAAATTATGGAGAAGACATGGGGACTGTCTCAGTCCCGGTGCTAATAGCACCATTGGGTCAGCTATCTGAATGACTTTATCTTTCATTTTTCCAACGCAATTTTTTTCTCCTATTCCACCCCCCCTTCCAGTCCTGAAGATGCTAAGAGAGACAGATGATGTGGAAGATGAAATTATAGAACTGTACCAGGAGGATCTCGCTGAGAATAATAACAAAGACATGACTCCACTGAAATTAATCAGGACTCCAAATATGCGGTTGCAAATCATCACTATAGTTGTTGTGGTGGCTGGTGCACAGCTCAGTGGCATAAGTTTGGTAAGCAAGGGATAAGTAGTTTGAAGAAATATTATTAATTTATTGAGATGGAATGCATATATAGGAAACCCTATTTTTGTTTTGCCTTTCTTTGAAATGAGATGGAATGCAACTCCGTATCTGTCAGGCTAAACCTGAGAACAAGGCTAAGCAATTCATCCATAGTTCAGTTCTTTATTTGCTTACACACAGTAGACAGAATCTTGCCAGACTAAAGCTTTACTACTATGGATACACCTTGGGAGATTCTAGGGCATGTCTGGTTTACTCTCTTCCTCAGTCTCCTATCCAGCTGTGGACTGTGCTGCCTCTTGTCTGCCTCCACTTTCTGGAATTGTGCTCCCTTCTTCCTGGGAAACTGTCATGTTCCTGTAGTGTGTCAACCAAATTTCCCCTCCATGGGCACCATCTTGCACAACATCCCTAATAGCACATCTCTGACAGTGATGTCACTGGCCTTTTCAACTTTCCTACTCCAAAACAGGTCTGTCTGGAGCACAGATTCCATTTTATGTTCAATGCCAAAGTTCACGGGCAGGCAAAAGGCACACAGTTTGACCTATGCTGTCCATCTGGGCCAGCTTACTAGAAAACAACTGTGGAAAAAAGCTCTTTCTGGGTTTCATACAAATAAATTCAGAAAATCGTCATCTGGAAGAGGCCCTCTCCTGACTTTCTCAGCATTTAGAAAGGTGTGTGTCAGAAGTCCACTTCAATCTTGTGTTATAATTGAAAGGGAGGAAAAACCCCAATGTAACAACATCTCACATTCTTCATCCACTTCCCAGTAACGTGACAGAACGGGCCACAGGGATGAGCTTCAAAAATTTCAGCAACCAGTTCTCTGCCCGGTTGCTGGGTGGGTGTGGCCAGGGTGGGTGTGGTCTAATCGACCTCCTGCACTACGGTGTATGTGTGGGGGGGAGTTTTCATCTTTTTCGGAGGCTTTCCTTGAGCCTCTAGGAGGGCAAAAACAGCCTCCCCGGGCTCCGGAGGCCCTCTGGAGGCTGGAAACAGGCCTGTTTCTGCCTTTGTGGGGCCTCCGGGAGGCCTGCTTTTTTGCCCCCCCTGAGCCTCTGCATAGGCCCTGCGCTTACCTCGCATCCAAAACGGCCATGTGGAGATTCCTGGGGGGGGGAGGTAGGGGGGGGGGGGAGGGGAAGGGGGGGGGAGGAGCCCAGCCAGGGTTGGAATTTGATGGTTGTTCAAACCAGCCATAACGTTAACTACGGGTTTTCATGAACCGGTCAAACCCGTAACAGCCCACCCCAATGGGAATCTAGGAACGTATGATTGATCTCAGAGCAGATCTCAGCAGGAAAGCAAATAACAGTCCAGTGAGATCTGTCTCCTATCAGAAGCCATTGGGAATCTATGTGGAATGAATTATGCAACTTATGATGTTTTCCTTATTACAAGTAGTCCTTGACTTACGACTACAACAGTCCCCCCAATTTTTGTTGCTAAGTGAGACAGTTGTTCAGTGAGCTTTCCCTCATATTATGACCTTTCTTGCCACTGGTTTTAAGTGAAATCACTGCAGTTGTTAAGTTAGTAACATGGTTGTTAAGTGAATCTGGATTCCCCATTGACTTTGTTTGTTCACAGTTGACCCCGGGACACTCTAACTGTCATAAAATGTGGACCAGTTGCCAAACCTCTGAATTTGACCATGGGGATGCTGCAATGGTCATAGATGTGAAAAATGGCCATAAGTCACTTTTTCAGTGCTGTTATAACTTCAAACAGTCACTATGTTGTAAGTCAAGGACTAGCTATAGAATGCTTGGGCAATCCAATGCTGACAAGTCTGGTTTTTTTTGAGAGAATCTAAATCTGTAGCATTCAGGAGAAGGAAATTGAACATAGGCTCTTCCCCAGTCTTGTGCTTTTCACATGCCTGTGTTCCTAAATCCCACTTACCTAGTGAATCCTGGGAAATATAGTGCATGCAGAAGTACCAGGACATGAATTGCTCTTAATAGCTAGTATATTGCATACTGTACCTAAAGGGAAAAGATTGTCAATTCAAGTCTGGGGAAAAGATTTGAACTCCAAAGAATGACACCTGATATTCCTTGCCTGGAGAGTCTTCTCTTGAAGGTCAATGTAATATTGAGATTTTCTGGTTATTCATGACTTGTTGTTCACCTGTATTTTCTCCCTGCCTCCCTATTTTGCCCTGGCCTACTTTCAGGCATATTTTTCTACAGAACGGATTTTCTTGATGATGATTGATCGCAGCAACCTGAAGTACTTAAATTCTGGAGCAATCATTATTATGACCTGCTCTGTTCTATTAGGGGTAAGGAACTACCTCCTCTGTTCTAGTGATTAAAGCACCTAGCTAGAAACCTGAAGACTGTGGGTTCTAGTCCTGCCTTAGGCATGAAAGCCAGCTGGATGACTTTGGCCAATCACCAGGCGATGGTGAGCTCTAGTCCCACCTTAGGCATGAAAGTCAGCTGGATGACTTTGGCCAATCATCAGGTGATGGTGACCTCTAGTCCCTCCTTAGGCATGAAAGCCTGCTGGATGACTTTGGCCAATCACCAGGCGACGGTGACCTCTAGTCCCTCCTTAGGAATGAAAGTCAGCTGGATGACTGTGGCCAATCACCAGGCGACGGTGACCTCTAGTCCCTCCTTAGGCATGAAAGCCTGCTGGATGACTTTGGATCAATTACTCTCTCTCAACCCAGCCCACTTCACAGGATTGTTCTTGTGGGGAATATAGACAGAGCAAGAAGTATTAGACATGTTCACTACCTTGAATTATTTATAAAAAATAATAAAGGTGTGATACCTACATATGTCTTTTGAGAGAACTTATGATATAGCTATAGGGGGATTCATTATATATTCCGCATAATAGGATGGATCTCCCCAGCCTAGGTCTTCCCAGTTGTTGTGAATTACAACTCTCTTTAGTCCTGACAATGAAATTTATAGCATTTATTGTTGGGACATTATTGGAATTATTCACTTCACCTAATTTCGTTGTGCCAGCATTATGTTCCTCGTGAACTCATCCTGAGATTCATATGAACCGTTGTCCAACTCCTCCTGATGGTTGAAACAGATATTGAGAAGCAATAGATATAGCACTTAAACATATACACCTTCATAGTACTTTACAGCCCCCTCTAGCAATAGCACTTAGACTTATCTATTGCTTCCCAGTGCTTTTATAGCCCTCTCTAAGTGGTTCATAGAGTCAGCCTATTGCCCACAACAATCTGTGTCCTCATTTTACCCACCTTGGTAGGGTGGAAGGATGAGTCAATCTTGAGCCAGTGAGAATGAAACTGTTAGTGGTCAGCAAAATTAGACTACAAGACTGCGTTCTAACCACTGCACCACCACAGCTCTTACCACAGCTGTCTAGGCCAGAGCTTTCATAGCCCTCTCTAAGTGGTTCATAGAGTCAGCCTATTGCCCCCAGCAATCTGGATCCTCATTTTACCCATGGAAGGCTGAGTCAACCTTGAGCCAGTCAGGACCAAACTCCTGGCAATCAGCATAATTAGCTTGCAATACTGCGTTCTAACTACTGTGCCACCACGGCTCTTTAGGACATCTAGATACTTGAGTACAATATGCGGACAGCACAAAATTTGGATATTTTGTTTTTCGCTTCCCTTCACTGTGATTAAGGTGTTCTTTTTTTCCCCCTCACACATTTTCTTCTCTTCATATTCTCTAGATGTACTTGGTTGATTCTGTGGGACGGCGTCCCCTTCTTCTTGCGAGCTTCGCAGGTTGCATCATCACTTCCGTTTTATTAATAGTGTCACTTCTACTTCAGGTTTGTAATTTGGAACATCAAGCATGGAGAGAACAATTAAGTTACATGTCCATTCCCTTCCAGGTCCAACATCTGACTAATTCCTATTTATTTAGCAGCAAAACCATTTTCAGATAGCTGCACTGTAAAATGGCTCATTCACACACCTTCCTGTTCTTAGGATGGGAAGAAACCACGAGAATCTGAAAACGGCTAGTTCTACCACAATCCCAGCAGAAGTCCGCTGAGATGTGTTCTACAACTCAGGAGTTAAGAGAAAGGGTGGAAGAGCAGGAAAAGGGAGGATGTGCTCTCGGTTTGGATGGTTGGCTGTTTGGGAGAAAGAAAGGCAGGCAGATCAGGGGAAACTGAGGCTGAGAAGACAAGCTAGGTGAGAGCAACGTGGTGGAAGACGGCATCCCCTGTGCCTTAATAGTCCCTGTTTAGATTGCATGGAGCTTAAGGATGGGAAGAGTTGACCTTGTGAAAGTTTGAGCTTTAGTCTTCTACAAAATCAATACTCACCAGTCCTGGGGGGAAGGGGGGGGTAACCCCCAAAAGAATCAAAGGACAAATTGTGCAAGAAAGATGCCCAGTCTCTGTGGCAGTCATAGTTGAAATAGAAGCATGGAGTCCTGCAGGTGGAAGAGCTTTCTTCTGCTGTAAGCCAGTTAGATGTGCAAGTCACTAACCTTTTGAAGACTTCTCCACATAATGTGGGCAGCTCAGGTAGGAGGTTTTGTTCTTGGTTTTCTTTAAAAAAAATATTTTTATTGTACATTTTCCTTCATTTTACCTTGCAATTTCAATTTTGCAACAACAATATGCTGATTGTATCAGCACCTTTTTAAATATGCATAATGTTATACATCCTAGTTATGATCGTTTTTTCCCCTTTTTCATACAGTATAGTCCATAGAAAAAAGAATAGAAACTTGATATTAGACAACATACTTATTATATCTATTGTATAAATGGTTATAACATACTTCTCTATACATTTATCACTCTATATACATATTTTGATTTGCAATTATGTACAATCTAGTACCAATATTGCTTACAATACGTATCTTTCTGTATACCTTTATAACTGTATTTGTTTCTAACTTGTTGATCCTCTTTCGTCATCTATTTTCTAACCTTTGCATCTATTGTCTAGCCAATTGTACCATAGGTCCCATATTAGGTAATATTCTGTTTCCCCTTTGTCTTTAATTACCATCGTTAACCTGTCCATTTTGGGGCATTCTAATATTTTATTTACTACCATTTCCTCTGTGGGTATACTTCTGTTTTCCAAGAAGACATACAAACTTCTTGATGGATCACCTTACTCCAGCTCCAGCCATCTGCTCCCTGAGATGAAGGCTCTAATGCAAGGGTCTTCAAACATGGCAAGTTTAAGACTTGTGGACTTCAACTCCCAGAATTCCTAAGCTAATAAGACTGGAGGAGAAATTCTGGGAGTTGAAGTCCGCAAGTCTTAAAGCTATCAAACTTGAAGACCCCTGCTCTAATGTGAGGTCATGGTAAACAGGCAATCATGCAACCAGGGCAAGAGGGTTGTGTGAATGAGCCCTAACAAGTCTTGACAGGGGAAATTAGTTTACTGTTACGTTTCTTTATTTGTGTCAGAATGTTATAGATACAGAACATTCAACATGGAGCATATAAAATGGGTGTCAAATAGGCCATAGAAATATAGCACGTGTAAGTATGCAGAATAAAGGGAATTAAAACTAAAACTGCTTAAAATGAAAAACTGCTATATAGAAGGGACACTTTTAAAGGCCACAAATAAACAGGTTTTTAATTCCAGTGGAAGAGAAGATCTGCAGCTCAGGGCTGAACTGTGGAGTCCCTGTGGAGTTCTCTGAGCTTCAGTGTTTTCTTGCATACGTTTCATTACTGCATTGATGATATCACCTAGTCAGGTAATGAAACATCTGCAAGCAAACAACCAAACTCAGAGAGCACCAAGGCAGAGGTGGTATTCAGCAGGTTCTGTCCAGTTCTGGAGAATCGGTAGCAGAAATTTTGAGTAGTTTGGAGAACCGGCAAATACCACCTCTGACTGGCCTTACCCCCATCTATTCTCTGCCTCCAGAGTTCCAGCTGATTGGCTGGGTCTTCTTTGGTTGCCCTGCCCAGGAGAAGGGAGCTGGAAAGCAGGTTAGTGGGGTGGGGAGGGAATGGAGATTTCACAGTATCCTTCCCCTGCCATGCCCACCAAGCCACACCCACGAAGCCACACCACACAACCACGCCCACAGAACCAGTAGTAACAAATTTTGAATCCCACCACTGCACCAAGGATGCTGCTGTTCAACCCTGAATAACAGACATTGTTTTCCTCTGGTGATTTTTTTTTTTTTGAGTGGAAGATTTTACCGGTCTTCTTTTTTCAGATGCAGGCATAACACTTCTCCTTTGGCTATGGAGATCATCCAGGCCAAAAAGCAATTAGAATTTCTTGGGGTTTTTCCCCTTTAAAAATGTCTTGCTTCTCACCTAAAAAGCTTTTGAAGAACTGAAGAAGCTTTTGGAATGAGAAGCGGAACATATTTAAAGGCAAAAAAAAAAAAAAAAGAAAGAAAGAAAATCCAGTTGCCTTTTGGAAAAAGCACCTTTGGGACAGATGTTTATGAAGATTTTCAGTCATCCAGGACATGGCTGTCCCAAAAGTGGCTTTGGAAAAAAGCAAATGGACTTGGTTTTTCCTTGAATACATTTTGCTTCTCCTCCAAAAAGCTTCTTCAGCTTCTAAAGAACTGAAAAAAAATGTCTTGGATGAGAACCAGAACATCTTCAAGAATAAGCAAAGTCCAGTTGCCTTTTGAAAAAGCACTTTTGGGACAGTTCCTCTTTGCATATTTCACCATCTACACATCTCTCCTGCCCTCTGTGGTACCTTGCGGTCCAATCTGGAAAAATCCCATTGAAAGTCTCCGCCTGATAATTCTTCTTGTGTTCAAATGAAAGTTTGGAAACTCAAGGAGACTGTAGACCAGAGGTCTCCAAACCTGGGCAACTTTAAGACTTGTGGACTTCAACTCCCAGAATTCCTCAACCAGCCCAGGAATTCTGGGGGTGGTGGGGTATGTGTGTGTGGGATTGAGCGTGCATGCACAGGAGGCATGCGGATGTGTGCATTTCCTTCTGGGTGCTGGCACGTGAGCTCAAAAAGGTTAGCCACCACTGTGATAAAGGCTAAAATGTATGAAGAATAGTTGCGGAATTGGGTTTGTCTAGTCTAGAGAAAAGAAGGACTAGGGTTGACATGATAGCAATGTTCCAATATTTGAGGGGCTGCCACAAAGAGGAGTAGAGTGGATCAACCTATTTTCCAAAGCACCAGAAGGCAAGGCAAGAAACAATGATGGAAACGAATCAAGGAGAGAACCCACCTAAAACTAAGGAGAAATTTCCTGACAGTTAGAACAATTAAACAGTGGAACAGTTTGGCTCCAGAAGTTGAGGGTGTTCCATCTTTTAAAAAGAGACTGGACAGCCACTAGTCAGGAATAGTATAGGATTCCCTGGTGGAACCGTGGGCTGGATTAGAAGACCTGCAAGGCCCCTTCCACCTCCATTATTCTGTCATTTTTCTGCCTGGTTTCTGTTAAACCTTGTCGTAGATAAACAAAGCCATCTGCAAATTCCACCAGCCCATCACTGAAATATATCTACTTTCCTCCAACAGAAAATGATTAAAGAGTTGACATATTTCAGCTCCGTTGTGTTAATCCTATTCATTTGCACGCACGATATTGGAGCTGGTAAGTAATGCTGTGGTTTAACCACCTCTGGAGGAAGATCAAGCCCCAACCAGGATAAATTATCTTGCCTCTGAAAAATGATGCTTCATTTCTTGCCTTCCTTTTGTCTACCAAGCACCCCTCCCGCACTTACTTATATTGGAGATGTTCTCTCAGTCGTCAAGAGCTTCGGCCTTTGTGATTTCGGGCTCTGTGTTCTGGAGTATAAGCTTTATCACAGGACTATCATTCTACTACATAGAGGTAAGAGAGGGGGGCCCTTGGTGTTCTCTGAGCTTGGTTGTTTTCTCACAGGCATTTCATGACCTTACTAGGTAACATCATGAGCCTCGGTGGTGCAGTGGTTTGAGTGCAGTACTGCAGGCTACTTCTGCTGACTGTCGGCTGCCTGAAATTTGTCAGTTCAAATCTCACCAGGCTCTAGATTAACTAAGCTTTCCATCCTTCCGAGATGGGTAAAATGAAGACCCAGATTGTTGGGGGCAATAGGCTGACTCTGTAAAATTGCTTAGAGAGGGCTGTAAAACACTGTGAAGTGGTATAGAAGTCTAAGTGTGATTGCTATTATCAGTGCTAGAAGGGAGAGTGAGTAAGTTTGAAGAGCAACTTGCTGGGAAAAAGGTGAATTGGCTTTAAAGTCTGTGGAGATTCTCAGTCATCCAGGTCATGGTTGACCCAAAGGTATTTCTTTTTCAGGAGGCAATTGGATTTTCTTGGTTTTTTTTTTCTTTTGAAGATGTTTCACTTCTCATCCAGGGAGCTTCTTCAGCTCTAACAGGATAGTGTGGGATGGAAGGATTTATACTCCTTGCAGGCAGCTGGCCATTTGCATCCTTTCAGACAGTCGTTGAGGCCACTTGGAGGTTTATCACTCAGGTCACCTGAGCGGTGCTCCTGGTTCCTGTACTCTGCAATTTTTCTCCTCTGGAAATCCATTCCTCCTCCTACACCATTCAAAGGGTGTTTATCCCAAATTGTACAGCTAAAAGTCGAAAGTTATTTCAAGCCTATCATTGAAGCTGTTTGTTTGTTTGTTGTTTATTCATTTATTTATTCAGCCTTCAGGCGGCTCATTTTACCAGAGGTGAATCTAGGCGGATTACAGGCATTCAATTGAAATGCACCAGAAAACACGAAAGCAATAAATAAGGACCATATTTTACATTGTGCAGAGGAAGAGAGGTTGTTCTGCACAGAGAACACAAGTACATGACCCACAATCGAATTCACTGTATTTCCTTTATTAAGCAATGGGCTTGTTAAGTGAACCACACCCAAATTTTACAACCTTTTTGGCCATGGTTGTTAAACTAATTGCTGAAGTTATGAAATAAATCACATGGTCTTTAAGCAAATCCGGATTTCCCCATTGACTTTGCTTGCCAGAAGTTGGATGGGAAAATGGTAAACGGCAATCACGTAACCCCAAGATGCTGCCACCATTACAACAAATATGTGCCGGAATCCCAGCAACTAAATTTTGATCCTATAATCACGGGGATAGCACATCGTTTGCAATGGCAAGTACTGGTTGTAATTACAACCAGTACTTGCCTTGTTGTGATTCGCCGGCAGCCTGTGCAGACGGCAGCAGAATCAGACAATAGGTAAGCATGGGGATCAGTCCTGTAGTCTGAAGAGGACTCAGACAAGGGTCCTGCATCCAATGCAGATATGGGGCCAGGACCATCTGGGAGTGAGGTATTGCATCCAAAGCCTTTGGAGTCTGGCAGCAGTGAGGCAGAGGACCCAAGGGAACCTGTTCCCAGTGTGTGTGTGCACAGATCTGCTAGAAACTGAGAGCAGCTGAAACAAAAGGAGCGACTCTGGAGTAAGGCTGAGAGGTGATTGCCCCTCCCATAAGGTATAAAGGACAGGCAAAGAGGATGAAACCCTTGCAGGAAGCAAAGTCGTTCATTCAGTTCAGATTCATTCTTGAAGCCCTTTGTACTTCAGTTGTTTTTTTTCTAGTTCATTTGATACTTCCGTTATTGGCAGAACTTCACAGAAAAGAAAGGTGGGTGCTTATCTTGAGGGACTGTTTGAGATTCATTACCAGCTGGGAATGAAAACAATTCCCAGCATTGCAATAAAATAAGACTTGTTTTTAAAATAAGTGTGTGCGTAATTACGGTTTCAGAAGCCTTGGTCAGAACAATCCTTTTCAGTGCTGTTATAACTTTGAATAGCCACTAAATGAATGGTTGTAAGTGGAAGTCTATTTGTAGCTTTCTTTCTGTATGGAATTGTGAATGACAATCCAGAGAAGATACAGATGGGAATTGTTGATCTCATTAGGAGTAGCTTCCTCTTGTATCTCTTGGACATCTGGACAAGATAAGAACCTCAAAAACCAGAAGCTAATATGGAAGGATAAGAAAGATGCCAGAATGATATTTATGGGATGAAATGTGTATTTCTCCCTCTTTCTTTCCCTGAATTTCCCACATTGTTTTCCATTTTCAGATAGAATTTGGCAACTACAGCTCTATGCTCTTCTGGCCCTTCTGTATAGCAACCCTTGTATACATCTACAAAATGATTCCAGAGACCATGATGCAAACTTTCCCTGACATCAAGAGAGTCATGTCAATCAAGACAGCCAGGCGGTTCCGTTCTAGAGAGTCCAGGAGAAAACTGAACTCCAAAAGATCTGTCTGAATTCTTCCCTCCCTTCCTTTTTCCTCCCTTTCTTGCTAAAAAGAGAACCCTACTTATCCGTAATCTTCTTCAAATGTTGATATATGTATATAGTGTTCCTCCTGATCCAGAGACACCATCTCTGTCTTATTTTGATTTATATTTGCTAAAATGTATTTCCCCATTTTAACAAAGTTATAGTCCTTTCAAAATATGTTTCAGTTTATATATTATTATTATTATTATTATTATTATTATTATTATTATTATTATTATTATCATCATCATCATCATCATCATCATCATCATCATTACTATTGTTGTTGTTTTACTTTCGAGGGGCTTGCAGATATCTTCTGGGGTCCTGTTTTGGTGGTGGTTGGACCTTCATTTGGTCTTCGAACCTTGGCTGAAGTATAGATTCTACCTCTATAATTAGATACTTTCAGCTCCCTTTGCATGTAAAATCTATAGTAGTACAAAGACTTTAAAAAAAAAAAACAGCCCTGAAATTTAGATCGTAAATGAAGTAGAAAATTAATTATACAGAAGATTAATGCAATGGTGTTCTAATAAATGGACACTACGGAAAAGTAGAATGATTGAAAATGTAATGCAAATCTGTTTGAAAGTGGAATTCTTAATTTTTATATGATTCACTTAATAGAGTTGCAATTTATTCCAGATCAATTTAATAAGTAAGTGAATGCTCTGATTCCAGATAAATTGATCATATTCATTACACACATTACTTTACTTGAAGAAGGATTATGTCCGTGAATGAGCATATCTGTCATACTATGCAACTGTTTCTTTGTCTTTTCTTTTTTTCAAATATTGGACCTCATCTAACAAGCTGAAATTCAATGTAAAAAAAAGTAAAGGTGGTTTTACATTTAGGCAAGAAAAACCAAAACTACAGGTACAGATTAAGTGAAACCTGACGCATTAGCAGTAACTGTGAGAGGGATATTGGACAATCACTTAAATATGAGCAAACAGTACGTGGCAGCAACCAAAAAAGCCAATGCAATCCTAGCTTGCATTAACAGAGGGATAGAATCAAAATCACATGAAATCAGAGGTGGTATTCAGCAGTTCTGGAGAACCAGTAGTGGAAATTTTGAGTAGTTCAGAGAACTGGCAAATTCTGGGAGTTGAAGTCCGCAAGTCTTAAAGCTATCAAATTTGAAGACCCCTGCTCTAATGTGAGGTCATGGTAAACAGGCAATCATGCAACCAGGGCAAGAGGGTTGTGTGAATGAGCCCTAACAAGTCTTGACAGGGGAAATTAGTTTACTGTTACGTTTCTTTATTTGTGTCAGAATGTTATAGACATAGAGCATTCAACATGGAGCATATAAAATGGGCATCAAATAGGCCATAGAAATATAGCACGTGTAAGTATGCAGAATGAAGGGCATTAAAACTAAAACTGCTTAAAATGTAAAACTGCTATATAGAAGGGACACTTTTAAAGGCCACAAATAAACAGGTTTTTAATTCCAGTGGAAGAGAAGATCTGCAGCTCAGGGCTGAACTGTGGAGTCCCTACGGAGTTCTCTGAGCTTCAGTGTTTTCTTGCATATATTTCATTACTCGGCTAGGTAACATCATCCGCGCTGCATTGATGATATCACCTAGTCAGGTAATGAAACATCTGCAAGCAAACAACCAAACTCAGAGAGCACCAAGGCAGAGGTGGTATTCAGCAGGTTCTGACCAATTTTGGAGAATCGGTAGCAGAAATTTTGAGTAGTTTGGAGAACCGGCAAATACCATCTCTGACTGGCCTTACCCCCATCTATTCTCTGCCTCCCGAATCCCAGCTGATTGGCTGGGTCTTCTTTGGTTGCCCTGCACAGGAGAAGGGAGCTGGAAAGCAGGTTAGTGGGATGGGGAGGGAATGGGGATTTTGAAGTATCCTTCCCCTGCCATGCCCACCAAATCATGCCCACTAAACCATGCCATGCCCACCAAGCCATGCCCACGGAACCGGTAGTAAACATATTTGAATCCCACCACTGCATGAAGTATTAGCGTCACTTTAGTGGTATTAAGTATTAGCCTTAGTACAGCCACACTTGGAATACTGCACCCAGTTCTGAGCACCAGAATTTAAAAAAGAAAGATGTTGAAATTCTGGAAAGAGTGCAGAAAAGAGCAACAAAGATGATTAGACAACTGAAGGCTAAAACATATAAAGAATGGTTGCAGAAATTGGGTATGTATGTCTAGTCTAGTGAAAAGAAGGACTAGGGGTAACATAATAGCATTATTCCAATATTTGAGGGGCTGCCACAAAGAATATGGGGTCAACATATTTTCCAAAGTACCAGAAGACATGACAAGAAGCAATGGATGGAAACTAATCAAGGAGAGAAGCAACCTAAAACTAGGGAGAAATTTCTTAATAGTGAGAACAATTAACTAGTGCAATGGTTTGCCTTCAGAACTTGTAGATACTTCATCACTTGAAGTTCCTTCCTTCCTTCCTTCCTTCCTTCCTTCCTTCCTTCCTTTCTCCCTCCCTCCCTCCCTCCCTCCCCACAATCAAGATTGCAAAAGCCTCACTGATTTGGTGAAGACAAATATCAATTTGGGTGAGGGTCTTTTCTTTTTCCTCCCAGCCTTTGTGTCATGTTCAACAGTTTATAATTCCCTTGGTTTCCCCTTTCATCTCTCTGGTTTAACCACATTTCTCTTTCTGAAACCTATGCCTCCAATGAGCCATTCCATTCTGTGCTGTCATGGAATGCTATTCAACATATTTGGGAGATGAATAGGTGAAGAAGGGGAAAAGCAATAAGTCAGGGGCCACAATTTTTTCTCTGCTTGCTACATGCTGGGAAAAGGAAGTGAAGATAAAGGAAATGTTTTTTTTTTTCCCTGTCTCTTCATTTGTCTTTTCCATTAGTCCTCTTTCAATAAGATTGTTTTACTTTTTATCTTTTCTTTTATGTACACTGAGAGCACGTGCACCAAGACAAATTCCTTGTGTGTCTATAATCATACTTGGCCAATAAAGAATTCATTCATTCATTCATTCATTCATTCATTCATTCGTTCGTTTCTTTTACGGCCAGTGGGTAAAATACTGATCCTAAAAGAAAACTCTCATCTGAGAGTTTGCAAAAATGAGGAAGAATGGATCCAGGTTTTCTAAAGTTTGAGTACAAATCAATTCCCAGCCTTCTTATAGGGTGGCCTATATGTATGCTGGTTACTGGGCAACGCAGAATATAAAACATCAGAGTTGGAAGAGAACTTGGAGGTCTTCTAGTCAGTGGTAGGATTTAAATTCTTTTACTACTGATTCTGTGGGCATGGCTAGGTGGGCGTGGCTAGGTGCACATGTGACTGGGTAGGCGTGGCCAACTCAATGTCATTTCAAGGGTTGCCTCAACTGAACCCTAACCCAAACTGGTCAGAACAGGCTGAATCCCACCACTGCTTCTAGTCCAAACCTCTGCTCAAGCATAAGAATATATATCATTTCAAACAAATGGCTGTCCAGTCACTTCTTGAAAGCCTCCAGTGATGGAGCATCCACAGGTTATGGAGGCAAACTATTCCATTGGTCGATCGTTGTCACCATCAGGAAATTTCTCTTTAGTTCTAGGTTGGTTCTTGTCTCGATTGCTTTCCATGGATTGCTTCTTGCCTTGCCTTCCGGTGCTTCAGAATTTAGCATTTGGGATGATAGTTCCAGTCCATTTGCCCACCTTCCTAGATGGTTTCCTACAAGTGAAGCCAATGGGGAAAAAATCAGTTTGGCTTCATGACTGGGTAATTAACGTTTAACAGCTGCAGTGATTTGCTTAAGAATTGTGGCAAAAAAAAAAAAAAGTCGTAAAATTGGGCATCTCACTAAATGACTCCATTGCATAACAATGGAAGTTCTGATCTCAGTTGCAGTCATAAGCCTGTGATGGGCTTCAAAAATTTCAGCAACCAGTTCTCTGCCCAGTTGCTGGGTGGGCGTGGCCATGGTGGGCGTAGCCTGGTCAGCGGGAGACCCATTTTTTGCCCTCCCCAGGCTCCGGAGGCTTTCCTCAAGCCTCCAGGAAGGCAAAAATGGCCTCACTTGGGCTACAGAGGCCCTCCGGAGGCCTTCCAGAGACCAGAAATGGGAGGCCCATTTTTTTGGCCCTCCCCGAGCCTCCGTGCAGGCCCTGTACTTACCTGGCATCCAAAACAGGCCATGTAGAGACTCCTGGGAGGGGAGGGGGTGGGTGGAGCAATGCAGGTGTGGGATTTACCAGTTCGCTGAACTGGTAATTGAAAATGTTAAAATTAGATACTGGTTCGCCCAAACTGAGGAGAACTAGTAGCAGCCCACCCTTGCTTGTATGTGTTTATCCAGACTCCCTTTATGTATCAGTCAGACCTAGAACAGCAGGCTAGAAGCTGGAAGAGTGTAAACCCTAATTCCACTTTAGGCATGAAGTCAGATCGGTGGCTTTAAAGCAGTCTCTCAGATCTAAAAAGTAAACAATGACATTTTTGAAAATGTTACCAAGGACTGGTTTGGAAATTCATGAAAAGTCTAAAATGACCCAAAGGCAGGAAGGAAGGAAAGAAAGAAAGAAAGGAAGGAAGGAAGGAAGGAAGGAAGGAAGGAAGGAAGGAAGGAAGGAAGGAAGGAAGGAAGGAAGGAAGACAGACAAAGGAAGGAAGGAAGGAAGAAGGAAAAAGAAAAAGAAGAAGGAAAATGGAGAAATAAAGAAGGCGGAAGATGGAAGTAGGAGAAAGAAGGAAGAAGGAAAAAAAGAGGGAGGGAAACCTCCATGGACCTCTGATAATATTCAGTGATACACAAAAATCCACAAAATAATATTGAGTATAATGTAATGTCTGGTGAGTTCATAGGTACGTATTTCTAGGTAATATTTTTTAAGCAACAGGCTTAAAAAAAAAATTGCTTTTTTTCCCCATTGCTTCTTTTTTTTAAAAGTCTTTCAATCTGGCCTCTAATTTTTCTATTGATCCCCAGGAACCCATCATTCAAATTGCAACCC